TTTTATCACATACGACAATATCAGTGACGAGTATACGTTATAAAAAATGATATACATTAATGGTGATATTAAGCAAACCAAAAAACAATGAAATAATTAATAATAAAAGGAGGTGTGTGTATTTATAAATATAAAATGTACTCAATCGTGATAATTTTCACTTGTAACAAATTCTATATACTTGTGACGAGTTATTTCAATCACCAAATGTAATTTCAATTGTCACCAGTTTAACTTGTTACAAATGAGTCACGCTTCCGAGTGTACTTTTATAATAAAAAGAGGTTTTTGTGAGAGTACCAGTGTCACAATTTCAAATTTTCGTGACAAAGTTTTCGTTTCTACTGCAACAACATTGGTCACAAGTTTTTTTATAGCTCAATTTTATACCTTAAATTATGGGGTCTTTGTCACAAAATAACACTTTTGTGACTACTATTTTTATCGCATACGACAATATCAGTGACGAGTATACGTTATAAAAAACGATATACATTAATGGTGATATTAAGCAAACCAAAAAACAATGAAATAATTAATAATAAAAGGAGGTGTGTGTATTTATAAATATAAACGATAAATAGTGTGGCGGATATCCAATATCTCTAACAATATAAACTAAATAGTATCAAACAAACCAAAAAAACTAGCTAAATTCTCTTTAGATCAATCGCAACTTCATGGAGTTCTTTCTAAAAGTATCATTTCTCTTCTTCTCTTCCTGAAACTCTACTTGGACAAAGCCAATTGTCAACGGTTGATTTCCACACCGTATTCGCTGCTACTCACTCAACTAAATTTGCAAGAACCTCTTAATGAAACTCTACCCACAGCTTCCTCTGCCCTTAACTCCTTGGTTTACTTCTTGAGTTGGATAGCTCACATGGATTGCTTCAAATTAACCTGCAAAGCACAGTATGGGAAAGCCCCAAAATAGATAATTGAAACAAAGACGTTTGGAGCAAATGCAGAGCCGCCTGCCCCAGCATCGACAACATCGGCGTAGACTTCTTCTCAACAGTCAAAGATTGGCAAATCAGACCCCCAAACAAGCCGGCCGAGTGGATCAATCATTGCGCTCTGCACGCGATCACCTGGAGCCTGTGGCTTGAAAGAAACCGCCGAACCTTCCAAGACACCAGCCAAAGCTCCACGATCGTCGCTCGGAAAGCTTTCAAATCAATGCTGGAATGGCCCATCGCGATGGGGAAAATCTCCAAAGAAGAGGGCCAACAATGGCTTGACGAACAGAGAAGAAGACCTCTTTACAACGACCACTGAACGCTGATCTCCCGGCAGGCCCCCGGCGTTAGTTCGCTCGTTGGCTGAGTAATTGGAAGTCTCGGTTGCAGTTTGCAGATTGTTTTTGTCTCGGAGTTGCAGCGGCTTAAGTCTTGGGTTCTGTTTGTGGCTGATCGGTTTTTGTGTGATGGCGCCCTCTGTGATTTGAACGCCTCTGTCACCGCTCCGTCGTTGACCCAGGTGTTACTTCGTCGGGTCTCATCCTTGGTCGCTGCGGGGGTTCTCCCGTCATGATCGCTGACCTCGTGGCTGGATGGGCCCCTTGCCATGTTGCAGCTCTTTCTACATTTTCTTTTCTCCTTATTTGTTTTATTTGTTTGTCGCTGTTTTGGTTTCCTCGTTTCGGTTCAGTGCTTCTGAACCTCTGTACCTACTTTAGAACTCTCCGTTTTCCCGGTTTATTTTAATAATCATCACCATTATAAAAAAAACAATAAGATAATCAACTAACAAAAAAAAAATACAAAGATCAATGGTCGTTTCTTAGTTTCTAGTGAAATATGAGATTTTGTTGCCTAAAAATATAAATATTTAGCAACAAAAAAAAAAAATTTGAATAGAAAGCAGAAGAAAGTGGTGTTCATTAGAGAAGCAGTAGCACGTAAGGAAGATGATAAAGGGGAGCTCACGCTAATTTACCCGAAGCGTTCAACAAGATTAGCTGCTTCTCCAACGCAAGACGTGTTCATTGCAGCGGCCGAGATTCGGGAATCATGAGAGAAGAGGAGAAGCAGGGGAGATGGAGGGTGAAGACGCTGAACCTGTAGGATTTTTCCTCGTTATATGCACATTAAGATATTTAACAGAAAAATCAGGGATTAACTATTAAAGTACTTTCCTTTGTAAATATATTTGCCTAAGAGGGAATAATGTAGATCAAAATTCCTTCCCGTAGATAATGATCTCAAAAGATTCTCTATTTATAGTTAAAATAGTCTTCAGTTCTATTTTCCGTGTACAACTAATTAACACCATTTTCACTTTTTGTTTAGCCAACTAACACAATTTCTTTTACTTATCTTTATCTAAACAGGCAAAACAGCCTTTTTTTTTTTTTTTGATAACCCAGGGAACCTCAGCCCCACGTGCCACTTGAGCGACAGCGGGGCCTACTAAACCACTGGGGGTACCTGCATACTAGCCGGGGCTTTCTGCTACCAACATCGGGGAGGCTTCGCCTCCGATACCAAGGGTGCCGCCGGGAACGCACAAGTGGCTCCACTGGGAATCGAACTCAGGACCTCTCACATCCAGAGCTCAATTGGACCAGTGTTTTCACCACTAGGGTATGTTACCTTTGGCGGCAAAACAGCCTTTTACCAACGTATAATAGTGTAAAATATACTTTAAACATTAAAAAATTGAGTATCACTTAAGTAAACCAACAATTTTTAGATCTAGTTAGGATTTTTGTGATATAATTGTGACACGATATCAAATTTTTGCGACAAAGTTATTGTTGCGGTAGTGTGGGTAACATAGGTTGCAAACTATTCTTGTTATAATATTTTTGTCACAAAAGAATTGTTGGTATGACGTTTTGTCACCTATGATACAATATACGTGACAATAGTGCATTTGAGATAATAGTATATATATTAGTGACAATATGATTTGTCATAAAAATTAATTTTGATTTTTCCGAATGGAGACTGATTCGACGACAATGAGGTTGCTTGATGGAACGAATGGAATTGAAGTAGAAATATTCCCCTATACTTTTTTCTTTGGTCATTGGTTGTGCAAACTTCGTCTTTTTTAAAGTTCATTCATGATATACGAACTTCTTTTCACATTTTTATTAGGATTTTCTTCTTTTTACAATTATAGTGAAGCTCTATATAGTTCTAAATTCAAGTGTTAAATTATTTGCAAAAAAATTCACGTGTTAAATAATATTGGTTGGTATAGTTTGTAACCTTTTTCTAATTTAGTGTTGCCTATAATGTAAGAATAGGCAACACATTTCGTTTTATTGTACAAGTGTTGCATACTATTAAGAATATGCAACAAAAATTGATGTACGGGTAATTTGTGTTGTATAAGATATATATTAAGCAACACATAACGAAAGTGTTGCATATTTTTATTTTACGTGACACTTCTAAAAAGTGTTGCAGGACAAGTGTTGCCAAAAGTGATTTTTCCCGTAGTGCCTAATGGCTAGCCCCGTTGGGTTGAGATTTATATTATTAAAACAATGAGCAAACAATACTAGTGTATGTGACATATATATGACGATAGACCATTTTTAACCGTCTGGTTTGGTCTATACTTTTTCAAACGGTTTGTTCTATTTTCCCAGTCTATATTAAACAACAAACCATAACATCCCTTAAAAGCAAGTAACTTAGTGAAAAAGGGATCAATAATAAAGAATCTATGTATATTGCATCCACGAAATTCTGAAAAACACTATAGCGGTTGATTTGTGATCTAATCCTAAAATATTGAATCGTTAGTCATCTACTCATATCACATAATAACGTGTATTTGCTGTATACGACAATAATAATATTATTACATTGCTATTTTGAAAGAAATCCAACTCACACAGATATTTATTACATACCAGGATTGTTAGGAAGAAATATACTAAACATCTCTCTCGGAAACTCTCATCTTCAAACCGTTTTCCATTGACAACATAATAGAAGCAAGTGGCTTGACAAGGTGACCCATTACCACTACTCTTTCAATCTCCTCGATAATCTTTTTCTCAACCTGAGGGTGGATTGCAACCAACCAGAGCAACCAAGTTAGAACCGTAGACACAGAGTCTTTCTCTGCCGCTATTGATGTCACTTCAAAGTTCCGTAGAAATTTATCTGAACTTTCTCCTCTTTCATCTGCTACCATCCATTGTGTTAGCAATTCAAGTTGTAGGAGTTTATCTTCTTTGTGAAACTCTTGTTTCTTGGTTTTCACGACATCGTATAAGAACCTATCCAAGACCTTAATGCTTGTACTAAATTGCTCACCACGTCTTGCATGTCCACCTCACCCCTAACTCCCGGGGCCGGAAGCATGTCCACCACCGGCCATTGGACGGCGGAAGCGCTTTTGTTCTTGGCTAAAAATGCTATCGAGCGCCACAAGAATATGAAGGAGAAGAAAGCTAGTAGCAAAATAGCAACAATCCACATTCTTCTGTATGTGACTTATTACTTGATATTGATTTCCTATCAGTTATCAGTACTAGCTATATGGCTTGGGAGATACCAAAAGATTAAAACGAAACGATCAGACTCGTGGTGCTATTCCAACTAACAAAATTTATTCCAACTAACAAAATTTATGTGGCTCTTGATAAGAAAACCAAAAAAGCAAAATTTATTATGAATTATTTAACAACTGCTCAACTGATTGAAATAAATGGTGATAGAAAAGTAGTGGTAGCTAGTTCAAAGACCACAATATTGTAGGAAGAAACTAAACAACTCTCTTGGAAACTCTCATCTTCAACCCATCTTTCATCGACAATACAATAGAAGGTGTTGGCTTCACGATGTGACCCTCTACCATATCAAGCTTGTAGTTCCACAAAATGGCACTAACAATGAACTTGAGTTGCATGAAAGACATCGGCTTCCCCAAACAAGTCTTTGGTCCTGTCAAAAAAGCCATAAACTTCTGCGACGGAACATGGATTATGTTCCCTTCTTCTGAAATCCATCTCTCAGGTTTGAACTCCATGCAATCTTTACCCCATATCTCTTCCATCCTCCCCATGGAGTATATGGAGAGCAACATCCGCATGCCCTTCTTAACTCTATGACCAGTAGGGAGCACATCAGCTTCACCGGCGCATCTATGCTCGAATGGAACTGGTGGATACAACCGCAACGTCTCGCAGATGGTCGCATGAAGGTACACTAGCCCATTTAACTCATCCTTGCTTATCGAAAACCAGGATGTCCCTCTATCAGTTTCCTGCCGCCCTGCCATGGCTGCTACTCGTTCGATCTCCTCGAGAATCTTTCTCTCGACGTCAGGGTGGGTCACAACCAACCAGATCAGCCAACTGAGAGTAGAAGATAGGGTGTCTTTTCCGGCTGCTATTAATGTAAACACCATATCTCGTAAGGACTTGTCTGAACTTTCTCCTTTCTGACCAGCTATCATCAATTGTGTTAGCATGTCGAGTTGTTGTCTCTGCTCCTCTTTTTGCATCTCTTGTTTCTTCATCCTGATAGCATTGTATATGAATTCATCCAACACCTTCGTACTATGACTAATCTTCTTCTCCGAACCAATCCCGAACCTTTTCTGGAACTCCCATACACCTCTGGGCACTATATGTCGGTATATGACTGCCTCAAAGATTTCTTCGAATGCTTTGTCGTACGGGAATGTTTCTGAACGTCCGTCCACAGAAAGGTAACCTGCGATATGATGGAGGATCAATATTATATGAACGAAGACCCGATATATATACTTAGATTATAGACTCAAGTATATATACTTAGATTAACCTGGATCAAACCCCAAAACCCACAGGCAGATGTTATCGAACATGAACATCTTTGCCACCTCCTGCATGTCTACCTCGGCTCCGACTCTCGCATCGAGAAGTGGGAACAAGGTGCCCTCCATCTTCAGCTTGAGGGTTGTCGTCATGTGGTTCTGCAATTCCTCGTTGTTGAGGATGGAATGGAGCAACTGCCGCTGGAACTTCCAGGCCTCGCCATCAACGTTGAAGAAAACAGCTGCGCACGCCAGGAGGGGAAGTTCGTCGCGGTGAGCTTGAGAGGGAGAGAAGCAGCTGGGTTGAACGTGACCAGCTGAGGCAGATCGGCAGCAGTCGGCGCAGCAGAGGTGGTGCTGGACTCGTCGCTCATTGTGACGGAAAAAAATTAGCTAGGGTTGGGAACCTCCAGGCTCTGATACCATGTAAGGAATTGCAATTGTGTGTGTATTCATTAATGCAAGGGTATATTTATACCCAGACGTGTACAGTATACAGGTATGATAAGGAGATATAAATACACAAGTAATAAAGAATACAAGTCCTAAATACATACGATTAGCTAAGTATCAACGGACAAAGACTTGTCCTTCATACGAGGAACTCGAATATGGCCTTGAACTCTTCGCCTTTCCTGTACTTGGCGTAGCTCTTGCTGAAGATGTGGTGGGCGTTGAGCGGATCGCTGGAGGCGATGAAATCCATGTTGGCGAACCACGGGCCTTTGAACACGAACGTGCCGCCGGTTTCCTTGAGGGTTCTGTCGGCTGCGCCATGGATATTATCGGTCCCCGCGTTCCAAAGGAGGCCTGGAAGCACACCCAGCACCGGCCATTCGATTAAGGAGAAGTTTGTGTTCCTGATACTACTAATTATGGAAGTACGCCGCCATGGGAGTGCGAAGGAGAGGAGGAGAGTTAGGAGCAAAATGGCAAGTAGTGGTATGATGGCCATTTGATTTGATGATTTTTGGTTTGATTGATTTGTATGAATATAATAGACCTTTGCATGGGACGATATTTATATATAGCGGTCATATATACAACATCGTCTTCTCGATCTCCATCATCAGCTTTCAAGGCACAGTGATGGCTCCACATTTTAATGATAACCACCCAACGGACCACGAAATTAATGACAACCACATTCATGTGTACACACTACACAGTAGCCTCATCAACTTAATCGTTCCCGTACCTTTCTTCTTCTTCTTCTTTAGCATGTGAAAGATGATTAAAGTTTAATACATGAGAAGAAAAAGGTACAGAGAGAGGGACTCCTTTAGTCAGGCTACTAGAAGAGAAAGGTAGCTGTTTTCCGGCGAGGAAAAATTGGTGTTTGAACACAATGAATGCACCTTCGACTTCTTGGACAACGATTAATAACACGGTTCACTCCTCTCCGAACAATGTTCGAACGAGGGTGTTTGATGTTTTTGATGGTTTTTTGGGACAAACTAAGTTAATTACACCTACTCCTATGGAGGTTCAGTGAGAGCTCCGAAAACTAAGGCTAGGGCTAATTTGCAGGGAAAAGATAAAAGTTTGACATAGTGTGTCAAATGATTGGTTGTGGAACCCTTGCTTCGTCTTCGTTTCTCCTATTTATAGTCATCCCTTGTAACCGTCGTGCAACCGCCTCTTGGTAACCGCTGCTCCACTGCTTGGTGTTTGATGTAGCTTGCTTGACGCCTTGACTGTCTTGCGTGCTTGCCACTCGATAACTAACCCTTGTGCCATGGAGGTGTCTTGTTTGATGAGTGGAGGCTTCACACTTGGTGGTACTCGTGCTAACCACCTTGACCTGACGTCATGCTCGACACCAGGGTGCTTGGGGGTTCGATGGATCCGCACTGACCCCCTTGGGGTGGCATCATGCTTGACATCCTAGTGCTTGACCCCTTTGGACGGTGTCATGCATGACCCCCCTGGTGCAAGGTAGGTAGATGGCATAGTGCTTGACCCCCCTTGTGCTATGGGTCTCAACACTTAGCCAAATTTTGGCTCTCTTTGCCACCACAGTTAGCTCGCGTCTCGTCATACTCAACTCACATTGGATGGTATCATGCTTGACCCCCTGGGATGATGTCATGCATGACCCCCTTGTGCTTGACCCCCTTGGACGGTGTCATGCATGACCCCCCTTGTGCTTGACCCCCTTGGATGGTGTCATGCATGACCCCCCTGGTACTTGACCCCCTTGGACGGTTGGATCTCCATACTTAGTCAATTTTCACCTCGGCATCATGCTTGACACCCTAGTGCTTGACCCCTTTGGACGGTGTCATGCATGACCCCCCTTGTGCCGTGGGTCTCAACACTTAGCCAATATTTTGGCTGTCTCAACACACATCATGCTTGACCCCCTTGGATGGTGTCATGCTTGACTCCCCTTGTACGAGACCCCCCTTGGACGATGTCATGCATGACCCCCCTTGTGCTTGACCCCCTTGGATGGTGTCATGCATGACCCCTCTTGTGATGTGGGTCTGAACACTTAGCCAAATTTTGGCTTTCTTCGCCCCATCATGTCTAGGGGTAATTACCCGTGAGGTAGGTGTCATGCATGACCCCCTTTGTGCTTGACCCCTTGGACAGTGTCATGCATAACCTCCCTTGCGGTGGCATGCTTGACCCCCTTGTGCTGTGGGTCTCAACACTTAGCCAATATTTTGGCTCTCTTTGCCACCACACGGCGAAAGGGTACTCGCGATGACCCCCTTGTGGTTGGGTCTCCACGACTTGGGTGGTTGATGTTGAAGGGTGTCAACACGCTTGACACTTGACCCCCCTGCGTGACGGATGGGTGTTTGGTGGGTCAAGTAGTGTGTGTTGAGGTACCTGGTATGAAGCCCAAAATACCATCATTTAGGCCCAACTTTAACCAATTTAATTAATATGGTTAAGTTGGCCTTATAAATCACTACCACTCCTTGAAAATAATCAATGTGGTATTGAGTGATTTTTTAGTGGTAAACAAATGCCCCCCAACTACTTAGTGCATAAGGATTATGGACTAAGTAGTTAACGTCAACTACACCACTAAAAAAAATGCTCGTTGGTTTGAATAATAAAAACCAAAACGCACTTAACCACCCCTGCAGCATATCCAACCGTAATTATCAAAAGACCAAAATCAATCATTGCCTCCACTATTCTATCCCAACACGCCCTTCGTGTCATGGCTAGCTACGCAAGCTCTGTCCACAAAGAGGGTGTCATGTCATGCCTACCATCAGGATGGTTGGTTAACTTTGAACCCGTTGATACCCCTTGCCCCAAAGAAAAAAGGACATAAGGCTTGAGATACTTTCATTGATCAACCGATCATGTAGCATCCGATCCTCTTTCAACAAGTATGCATCCTTAGACAGGTGGCATGGAAGGAACACGATCCATGACGGACAGCTATTCAGCTACTCATGCCATGAAGTGGCATGATGTACTCAAACGAGCGTAAGGGGCTCCATAGACCCAGCCACTTGACTCGTTGTTTACCAGTCATGGCAAAGTCTTCACATCGCAAGTGTTACAACTCTAATTTCTTTTTTTTAGCCATGATTGGCTTTTTCCTCTTATTTTACTAGTATTTATTTATTTATTTTAATATAGCAAAGAGTGACATGCATCACTGATATCCAAACCATTTGGCAACCATCAACATGCCAAAGGTGTACACCCACTGCCAAGTCCATGAATTAAACCACACCAACCATCCATAAACTGCATGTTTCTCCTCCTTAAGGAGATATGACTCCTTTGGTGTTGATTTTGAATTTTCCAACTTAACAACAGATGGTACTCGCTCAACATGTCCTGCCTTGGTGGGCTTGCAAGGGGTCCCCTGCTCCTCTGGCTTAGCCACCTTACTAGACATGTTGGGTTGTTGATGATGAACCTGATGTGTTTGTCTCGTTTCTGGTGGTACTCTAGGTACTCTCAACTCATTGGGCTCATGAAAGAGACCACGAGTTTTTAACTTCCTTGGTTTCGCCCAACCATGCTTAATCATCCCATATAGTTGGGACGATGAGTGTTTGGACTCAACAAGTCGATGACCACCCTGGTGGCCAACCTGATCCTGTTCAACCCTTACGGCTTGCTGACTTCTACACGTAGCACATAACCTCTGGTTCTTTGTAGGACCATTTCTGGTTTTTGTATGTCGGGATGTCTTGTCCATGCCCCTGCCATTCTTATATGGCATGCCATGAGGGTTGTTAAGCATGAACTTGCTTCTTTGTCCATCTATTAACACACTTTCATACTTAGAAATTTTTTGAGTGGCTTGGGTGTGCTGCACACTCATATAATTTTCTCCCACTTGTTTCTTCATGGTCAGTGACATACCCTCCTGTCCAGTGGTTGGAGACATGTCCCCCATACCATTATTCATGATTGTTGACGTGTCTCCCTTTCCAAACTTAGCCATATTAGTACTATAAGCATGTGTGGTTTCATGCTGTGGCTTATTGGGCACACCTATCAACCTACTAGTGGTAATTGATGACATGCCCCCATGTCATCCTTAGCTACACTATCATGCTTACTATAAGCATGTGTGGCCTGAGTTTGTTGTTTCTTGGGCACGTCTATCTGTCTATTGTTTGTGGTTGGTGACATGCCCCCTTGTCGACCATTCATGGGTGGCATGCTACAAGGAGCCTTGCCTTCTTGTGCACTCTTTGACACGTCATAGGTGGCATGGGTAGGCAACACCCACTTAGACTTGCCACTCACTCTATTCTTCATGTTTGATGACATGCCCCCCTGTCCACTGCGTGGAGATGGAGACATGTCCCCCTTGCCCCCCTTAGCCACGCTAACATTCTTACTAGCAGCACATGCGGCTTGGGATTGTAATGGCTTCTTGGACACAACTTTCAACTCACTGCTTGTGGTTGACGACATGTCCCTCATGTAATCCTTAGACGATAAACATGGTATTCTGTTGGACACACCCTTTTGTTCAATTTTCTTGACATCAACGTGTCCCCCAGCCTGACACTTCACCTTCAACTTGTCAGGTGGTAGGCTACCATGCCCTCCTTGCTGCCCCCTTGATGGTTTGTATCCATCAGGCTTGCTGGAAACACATGCGGCTTGGGATTGTAATGGCTTCTTGGACACAACTTTCAACTCACTGCTTGTGGTTGATGACATGCCCCCCATGCCATCTCCAGACAACAAATATGGTATTTTGTTGAACACACCCATTTGTTCAATTTTCTTGACGTCAACTTGCCCCCCAGGCTGACATTTCACCTTGTTAGGTAGACTTCCATGGCCTTCTTCATGCCCCCCTGGCGATTTGCATCCACCAGGCCTCTCGAGCATAGATGGCATCGAGTTTGGGCAAGCTTGTGGTAGCATATCAGCTATTAACCCTCCACCAACTCTCACGTTCAAGCATGGTCTAGCCTCTGAGACAGTTTTATGAGTAACTATCGGCACAGGCGGTTGCTTTACATGAGTGGTGAACGTGGGAGCGAGATTCTCGCCACAACCACCATGTTGAAGAGGTAGTTGAATTTCCATCGGAGACGATGAGTTCTCTGACCGTGGCTGAGCAGTCCGGCCACCGGAGGCTAGATTACTCGTATACTCAGTAACAATGTTTGACGATGGATTTACACCATCTTTTGCCAAAACTTCCGATCTCAACACTGGTTTTATCGAAAGTTGACAAAACTCCTTAAAATTATTTTTATTTATCTCGCAAATCTCATCCAGTTGATCCAAACGTCGATTTATGCGAGTATGGAAAAAATCAAGTTGAGATACCATTTGTTTGGTGTATCCCACCACAGCCTCCTCCATTAATTTTATTTCTACCAGCAGTGACTGGTGGAGAGACAAGGTGGATGCGGTTACACCCAAACATGGCGCCGGTGATGGTTGGCCTCTTACCCCACCATTGTTTCCGGCGTCACTTCTTGCTAGTTGACCAAGATCATAACTGGCCGCTAGCTCTTTTACAAACCCAGGTGAAAGATCACCTTCTTGTTCTCTCAGTCGTGGAGCCATCAAATCAAACACACAGTGTCCCACCAGGTGTGCCAATTTGTTTTCCGGCGAGGAAAAACTGGTGTTTGAACACAATGAATGCACCTTCGACTTCTTGGACAACGATTAATAACACGGTTCACTCCTCTCCGAACAATGTTCGAACGAGGGTGTTTGATGTTTTTGATGGTTTTTTGGGACAAACTAAGTTAATTACACCTACTCCTATGGAGGTTCAGTGAGAGCTCCGAAAACTAAGGCTAGGGCTAATTTGCAGGGAAAAGATAAAAGTTTGACATAGTGTGTCAAATGATTGGTTGTGGAACCCTTGCTTCGTCTTCGTTTCTCCTATTTATAGTCATCCCTTGTAACCGTCGTGCAACCGCCTCTTGGTAACCGCTGCTCCACTGCTTGGTGTTTGATGTAGCTTGCTTGACGCCTTGACTGTCTTGCGTGCTTGCCACTCGATAACTAACCCTTGTGCCATGGAGGTGTCTTGTTTGATGAGTGGAGGCTTCACACTTGGTGGTACTCGTGCTAACCACCTTGACCTGACGTCATGCTCGACACCAGGGTGCTTGGGGGTTCGATGGATCCGCACTGACCCCCTTGGGGTGGCATCATGCTTGACATCCTAGTGCTTGACCCCTTGGACGGTTGGATCTCCATACTTAGTCAATTTTCACCTCGGCATCATGCTTGACACCCTAGTGTTTGACCCCTTTGGACGGTGTCATGCATGACCCCCCTTGTGCCGTGGGTCTCAACACTTAGCCAATATTTTGGCTGTCTCAACACACATCATGCTTGACCCCCTTGGATGGTGTCATGCTTGACTCCCCTTGTACGAGACCCCCCTTGGACGATGTCATGCATGACCCCCCTTGTGCTTGACCCCCTTGGATGGTGTCATGCATGACCCTTCTTGTGCTGTGGGTCTCAACACTTAGCCAATATTTTGGCTCTCTTTGCCACCACACGGCGAAAGGGTACTCGCGATGACCCCCTTGTGGTTGGGTCTCCACGACTTGGGTGGTTGATGTTGAAGGGTGTCAACACGCTTGACACTTGACCCCCCTGCGTGACGGATGGGTGTTTGGTGGGTCAAGTAGTGTGTGTTGAGGTACCTGGTATGAAGCCCAAAATACCATCATTTAGGCCCAACTTAAACCAATTTAATTAATATGGTTAAGTTGGCCTTATAAATCACTACCACTCCTTGAAAATAATCAATGTGGTATTGAGTGATTTTTTAGTGGTAAACAGTAGCACAATAACACTTTACTAACATAAGCTACCAATGATATATATGTGGCTTTCTATGGTACCTCTGTTGAAATCCGGGGTATCGTATACCTTGAGTATGAAAACTTTATCTAGACCTCGAATTAACAGGATTTTTGGACCTAATACTATACCCTAACCCTTAATCAGTGAATCCTAGGTCCTAATTAATTATCTAAATTATAAACTATTAACCCTAAGATGGCTCATTCATTTTTTGCCTATATTTGGGCGAATCATAACCGTTGATTATGGTTTCTAATTAAATTGATCTTGGGGTATAAGATTTAGAGAATTAAGGCCTAGATTGTGATCTTTAAGGGTTAGAGTATAATATCATATCCGAAAGTTCAATCAATTCAAGGTCTAGATAGCGTTTTTATACTCAATGTATACGGTACCCCGAATTTCACCCTGGGTACCGTAAAAATCCCCACATATATATATTATATTAGTTTCCAACTTTCTAGATAAATAGGAGTCTTTGAACTCATCTTAGGATAGATATTTATCTACTACTTTATGAATAACTAAACTCTAATTATAATTTTAGCAGATCTTATCTATTTTGTAATTCAAATTTCAAATATATTTGCACATAATAAAATATCATATCTCCTTTAATATACCTTTTAGTAAAAAAGAAGTCACGTCGTCATTCGATACTAATATCCGGCGCACAATACAATACCGTATTTTCATATCTCAAAGAATTGTAAATATCGTTTTCTTTACTTTTAAGTGTCTTTCAATGTACCTCACTAACTTTTTTTTTTTTTTGTCTATAAACTTCTCATATTGGTATTTAAATTCAGTGTTGGAATAAAAAACATATACCTGATTAGGATTAATAAAAAACTTCCAAAAATTTTAATAGTGCCCCGTATCAATCTTAATAGGGCTAACTCCATCAATGCACTGCCAGCTGCCAACTGGTGTGTGTGACAAGAGATCGACTGGCCTCTATTTTATTTTTTTGATTTAAAACGAGCATACACTCCTCCGACATGCATGTAATGTACCGATAAGGACGTGTCCGACGACCAACCAAATTTATGGTGCAGTTATTCATGAAAAACGTTGAAAGCTAGCATTGCATGATCGATCGTCCACGTCCAGCAGATATCTGGATCATATTTATTGGTCTACCTAGATTGGGAGGTTCATGTTTCGCAGGATGCTATACATTACTTTCATCGGGTAACTATGTAGTGTAATCTATCTCTCTACGATTCTTTTCTCCGCTAATAACAGTGTAATCTTTTCGTTGTGAGCAAGGATTTTATGTAAGTTGGGTTTCATCTTAAAAAAATTCTAAGACAGTTTCCATAAAAAAAAAAAAAAGTTGACATTGATATTCGTTGTCCTAAAACTCTTTATTCATCGTCCTACCTAAATTAAATTTACTTAGAATGTCCTTAGAGTACTGCCCACACACAGGTAAATTGGGGTTCGGTTCGTGCAGCTAGAATAGCCTTGCTCGTATTTTCCTCGTGCTTGTTTTGATTCCCCTTTCTATCTCTCGTCTTCTGATTAGTTCTTGTTTAATTTGATGCTCCTAATCCTCATCCTCATCCTTCTCCTGAAATGTATAAGAGAGATCATTGTGGGATTTATTATTTGTTAATTCAGTGATGGTTAATTACTTTATATGTGAGATTGTGTTTTCTGACGATTAATATATATACAACAAACATTCTAGAATAAGAAAAGACTGAGATCCTAGCAAGTCATTGCTACATCCGTTTCAGAAGGACTTGTGAATTCCATTGGATTATTCCCTCAAATGGAGAGATTCCAAAATATTACCTAACATTTGCCATATTACCGAATTAAACCTCACTATGCCACAATCCACTTCTAGTTAGCAACATATGGACCATACGGATCAATCGCTAATTAATGGATTTCGGGGGAACAATTCACCACTTGATCAAATTCATCAATCGAATGACCCTACTTGACAATTTAAATTTAATGATAGTTACGCTCATGTTCATCATGTCCTAAGCACGGGGAGATATACTGATTCATTTTCCCAGGCTAACCAAATCACTTATATACAAAATTCATAAAAACTCGAAACAACCCTCCATCTTAACCGAGTTCAATCTAGACCGACCCTAATTGATTATTTTATGAATCTCTAGTTACATCTTAATTATCAAAAGTTGTAAAAAGTATATCGTATTCTTGTCAAAGTTTCACCTATCTATTCCTAGTGGCCCCAGAGATTAGTGACCATTTTGTAATATACACCCAATGAAAATTTTGTTTCCTTCACCTTCTGATCAATTCCGTCTCTATAAATACACAGAGATACAAAAACCCCTAACAAACCAAAACTTTTATATATGATAATAAGATAAGACGCCCATTCCTTCTTGTCCATTCCATTCCCAAACGGCCGAGAAAAGATCAGTTTCCCACAGAAAGAAATGGCGACGCCGCTATTGCTACTTGTACTCTTTCTCCCTCTCCTCCTTTGCCTGGGCTGGTTCGCCATCCGAAACAACAACAAGGCCATTATTATACCAAAGTGGCCGGTCGTCGGCATGCTTCCGTCCTTACTCTGGAACGTGTCTCACGACCTCCTCCACGACTTCATCACCCGAGTCATGAAACAGAGCGGAGGCACTTTCATGTTCAGAGGACCATGGTTCGCCGGCGTCGACTTCCTCATCACCGTGGATCCGTTGAACGTCCACTACATCCTGAGTAAGAACTTCACCAACTTCCCCAAGGTAAGGATTAACGGCGATTGATAGTTCTCTTCGAAAAACTGTGTGTTGAGTGATAGCAACTCCGTTTGTTAGGCGGCCTTGGGTGTTTTCTTTGGTTTTCTATGTTACGTATTGTGCTTGTGTGGGTATTGGGCTTAGGGGATATTGTTGGGTTAATTAGTATTTAGAGTTAGTCTTTGGGAGCTAAGTCTCCGTTTATGTGTTGGGATAGGAGAGGGCCGAGAGGCCTAGGGAAGTAGTAGGGGTCGGCTAGGGTTGATGGTTTAGGTATTAGGTTTAGTCGTCTATATATTGTAATCACGGCATTAGTCGGGGAATCAATCAATAATAAATCTAAAAGTCTTTCGATATTCTATGTCGTTCTCTCGCTTGTGAGTTATAAGCAAAACCCTGACCTGATAACAACGAGTTGCTATTATTGAGTTGACGAATGATTGATGAACAGTAGAAAGAATTGAATACTGATAGAAAGAAAGAAAGGAAAAACATATGAGGATTGGGTGGGGACAGAGTCTATCTTCCTCCTATCCTTTCTATCCTCATACTGATTTTCTTCATCACATAATATTATAGTATTTACTTGTGATTTTAATTTTATTGATAAGATTATTTATATACATTTGTTTAATTTATTATACAACAAAAACTGACAAATCTAAGAGGTGAAAATTGGGCGAATTCATTCACTAGTGAACCTGACGTTACAGAGTATTTGTTTGAATCAATTCAAATTTCCTGTGTGGCAATTTCATGAAACCTAACAATTAGAACTTATAACGTTGCTATCCGTATTAAGCAAAGATTTTTTCTCATAATGGTATAGCTTGAAACTTTGTGTTAACTTTGATGATTTTGCCATTAATTAGTAAGATGACTTTGATGATGTATGGTCTTTTCAATATCTAGCTTTCTTGTTAGTATAATAGACTCAATCCAAATACCAAATTAGTGTATAAACTAAAAGAGTACGCAACTGCCTAGCTAGTAGCTATCTCGTGGGCCGTGGCAATGTCAGGTCCTTATTATCTTCCTAGACGGCCAGCTCTGATTGGTCGGCTTTGTCCATATGGAGCCAGGATATAGGGGCTGTACATAACACTCAATTATAAGAAGCAGCATCTTTTGTGTATCCAAAGTTTTACCATTTTCAGACAAAGGTCCCTTACTTAATCACCAAAGTCAACCCTGCTATAGTCATTGAATTATGTACGTGGTGGGTGTTCCGCAATTATTGGATGGACACAGTGAAATTGTACTTATAATTGTTATTGCGTTCATCCAACGGTTACGAAATGCTCAACGCGATTTTTGACAGTTTTCCATCCTTTAAGTATGATCTCACAAAACGATGATGTGAGCATTATAGGAATCATCCTTATGTGGAAAGATATCTCTCATTCAAGTTTTGGGATACGTTTCTCATCTTATATATATTTATCCAATCTTATATTCATGCAAGGAGAAAACAGTAGCACGTGTAACGAAGATGAAATTGAAAATTCTCATGAGAAGGACATTTTCAGCTTTATGAAGTGGTTTGGTTGGATGGAAAAGATATTTAGTTTGTATGTATATATGTAGTTGAACAAACGAATCATTTTTTTTTCCATACTTTTTCATGTACTCGCGGAGTATTTAAAAATTCACATGTATTTATAAATAAAAAATCACGTGTAAGGTTGCATCATTCAATCCTAATTCTTGAAGGGTAGACTAGAAAGCATTATGAAAACTCACTTTAGAAAAAATGGCTTCACGTAACATTTTTTTTGTCCTTGCACAAATACAGTACTAAACCAACCGACCAACGTATATACAAACACATTTCACACAGTAAGACCTGAATAATATTTACATAAATCAATTTATAACTACACCAAACGAAACACCGCCTATATATATTGATAATCACACCATCAATCCCACACACTTCTCCTTTTCCCTTTCTAGCAATTAATGAATCTAATTAACAATATAAAGAAAAATCCATACTTACCCATTTTTCCTTCTGTCTAGCCTCAAATTTGAACGCCCATCCAGCATATCCTCATTATGAAACTAACTCTTGTTCACTCTCATTTCCTTCAACAGGGACCAAACTTGAAAGCCATACTTGAACCACTGGGAGACGGCATATTCAACGCCGACGGCGAATCCTGGAAATCACAAAGAGAAACCATCCATTCCCTCATCAACACCACCAAATTCCACCACCTAATGCTCAAAACAATCCACTTCAAGCTAAAAAACGGCCTGATCCCAATCCTCCACAACACCTCCAAACTCCACAACAATGCTCCTCTTCCTCCTCCTCTAGACTTGCAAGAGCTAATGAAGCGGCTCACATTCGACACCATATGCTCCCTCGTTACGGGTTTTGACCCCAAATACCTCTCCATCGAACTCCCGAGCCTTCCCTATGCCGACGCGTTCGACGTAATCGAGCAGGTGATTCTCTACCGCCATTGTGTCCCAGCCACGGTGTGGAAGTTTCAGAGGTGGGTTGGCATCGGAGAGGAGCGGAAAATGAGGCAAGCTCAGGAGTGCTTTGATGGGTTCTTGGAGGAGAGAATCAGAGTGAAAAGGAAAGAGGCATTGGATAAGAAGGAGATGGAAACCGTGGTGGATGATGATTTTCTAACCATGATCTTGTCCGGGGAAGCGGGAATTGATCAGGGGAAATTAACGGATGGGTTCTTGAGAGATGTCGTGTTTAATCTTCTTGTGGCAGGAAGGGACACCATTGCTGCTGCCTTGAGTTGGTTCTTTTGGCTCGTGGCGAAAAACCCTAACGTGGAGGAGAAGATTCTGAAGGAGTTGGATCAAGTTATGGGGAAAGAGACGAGCTTTCCGACCACAGAGGAGCTAAACAAAATGGTGTATCTTCATGGAGCCATGTGTGAAACCCTAAGGCTGTACCCATCAGTGCCTTACGAACACAAGCAATCGATCGAGCCGGATGTGCTCCCGAGCGGGCACGCCATTGATGGCAACACCAGGATCTTACTATCCATCTTTTCCATGGGGAGGATGGAAGAGATATGGGGTGTGGATTGGATGGACTTCAAACCCGAGAGGTGGATTTCAGTTGGGTCTGCGGATGAGAAGAAGAAGATGGTGGTTAGCTACGTGCCAGCTTACAAGTTTACAGCTTTCATGGCGGGGCCGAGGACGTGCTTGGGGAGGAAGATAGCTTTCGTACAGATGAAAGCCGTAGCCAGTTGTGTTCTGCGTAGATTTAAGATTGAGGTGGTGCATGGTCATCCTGTGGTTCCTGACGCTTCCATTCTTATGTTCATGAAGTATGGACTCAAGGTTAGAGTTTCTCATAGGGCATGATGTGTATATTATCGGGTGGATGATCGTTGATGATCAGTTTGGAAAAAGATTAATTATGTTCGTGATTTATGGTGAATTGTCCTTAAGATGCTATATATATGGCAAAGGCTAGCGTACGCCCGGACGTACCCTAGCCTACCGTACGCCCATTGAGTTTTGCTATTTAGACAATGAATTAACCGGAGTTTGGGACATGATACTATATCCTAACCCTGAATGGGTGAATCCCAATCCCCGATTCATTAACCCGAAGCATAATATTCATTTAATCTTGAAGTGAAAATCAACGGTTCTGATTCATCGAAATTATTGTTGATTTACTTTTTAAGATTAAACGAATCTCATGATTTGGTTAGAAAATTAGGGGCTGGGGTTTACTCATTAGAGTTTAGGGTATAGTATCATGCCAAAAACTCCGGTTAATTCATGATCTAAATAGTAAAACTCAACGGGCGTACGATAGCCTAAGGTACGCCCGAGCGTACGCTAGCCTGAACTATATATATGTTCTCAAAATGGTTTGTACAGTTTACCAAGGAATAAAAGAGGAGAGGGGAAAATGTCATCGTAGCAAAGTCCTAAGTTTTTATATGGAATTTTTAATTTTCGTAATTGTTATAGAACGTAGTTATATAAATTTTTCATAATTTGTGGTCTAATGATAAAATTAGGTTAGTTATTTAAAGTATTACATTTACATTTGATTAAACGACAAGGTAAAAGTTATCTTACCTTACAAGAATTTTTGTGTAATTGTAATTGATTAGATAATGAACATTTAAGATAATAAAAAAAATTACGTAATGTATTTGTTTTACAAAATATCGTTGACTACTAGGGAAATAGAAATCATGGTGAAATTAAGTGCATGATATGGAAATAAACTACCTTAATAACTTACTATAGAAGAAAAACAGCTTATAGTGAAATTAGGTGTAGCAGATGAAAAAAATATTACTTAAATAGCTTATTATAAGAGGAGTGTAAGTTTTATGGTTGGCTATAGGAAAAAAAGAGCTTATGGTGAAATTATGTTTAGTAGAAGAAAAAATTACCTAAATAGCTTAGTGCAGGAGAGAAGGAGTTTAAGATAATATTGAGTGTAGGGGGATAAAAATCTCTAAAGAAAAAAGAGCTTATGATAAATTGGATGTAGGGGATAAAAAACCCATTGTGAACAGTGCCTACTACAAAAAAAAGGGAAACAAATTTAATACTATCTTATTTTTTTAGTAAGGAACAGTGAATTTTATTTGCACTTATATATAATAATTATTATTATTCCTTCGCTCCGCAAAAATCGGTGGGCGGCGTTCGTTATTCACTTTAGTCCGGCAGCTAGATCCACCAGTTCCATGCCGGCGGTGAATACGCCGCTGGCGGGGGATGGTTCGACAGGTCCCGAGCACCTGGAGAGTGTGGCGGGTCAACGTAGGCCCCCGACGGCAACCTCCTCACCCAACCCTAAAGGCGATCGGGAGGCTCAGCAATCAAAGAAACGAGCAAAGCAAGCGACCAGCGTTCCTGAGAACGTGACCATTAATGATTATATTCTCGATGATACTATGAGCGATGAGCAGCGCACTCCGCCACCTATGAACCAACGCCCATCAGTCTGGGGTTCCAGCGCGGGAGCGGCAAGAAGGGTTTTTGGTACCTCAGCTGCTACAAGAACGTGGTATATAGCGGACTCAGATTCAGAAGATGTAGCGGAAGCTATACGTCAAGATGGACAAGAAACAGGTTTCGAGGGAGTTTGACCCTAAGTGTCCACCCATCGAGTTCACCCCGGCAGAGGAGCGGTTGTTCTGTCGGGAGTGGCGATCGGCTCTGGTGGTCAAGGTTCTAGGACGTTCAGTATCCTACACTCTCATCCTGAAAAGACTCACTGGATTATGGGCCAAACCGGGGTCAATACAAGTTACATCATCCAAGAATGGATACTTTCTGGTGCGATTTACGAGTGGCATTGACTATGATAGGGCAGTTACGGTAGGTCCGTGGATGGTGGGTGATAATTATCTTACCGTTCATACTTGGACCAAAGATTTTAACCCTTATAATCACGAGATATCCTCCACCCTTGTCTGGGCTCGACTGCTTGAGTTGCCCATCCAGTACTTCTACCTAGTTGTTGTTATGAAGATAGGAAATCGGATTGGGAAACCCATTCGTGTTGATCATGCAACGAGCACGGGGGCTAGGAGTGACTACGCCGGGGGTATGTGTTCAAGTGGATATCACCAAACCGCTACTGTCCCAGTTTACTATTCATGGCTTTACGTACTTCATCCAGTATGAAGGACTGGAGAAGATTTGTCTCAAATGTGGATCCTATTTCGAACGTGCTTGGTGTTCCTTCTCAACTCCGACGGAAATTGTTCCTCCTGAACCCGTTACCCCAGTTGAGCCGGTGGTGAACAAGGAGACGGAGAAAATCTATGGGGAATGGATGATTGCGAAACGTAAACCGAGAACAAGAAGAGAGAGCCCTACAAGCTATGCGGACAAAGGAGCTGGTAAAGGGAAATCTGGCAGTGAGAGAGGCCAGGCTCAGCATGGCTCACGTTTCTCAGCGTTGGCTAGGGAAGAGGATCAGACTAATGCCATATATGGAGCAAGACCAGCCAGGGTATGATAACAATAACTCCAGTACTATTGAAGAACCACGGCGAAAGACTAAAACTAATGCCCAAGGGAAGGAGACTAGGGTGATAGCGGCGGAACCTACGCAACGTGAACATTTGCATGAGAAGCAGCACGTAGAGACCCATGCAAGTAATAGCTCCCGGCGAAACAAAACTCCCATGGAGACAACAGACACTGTTCTGGGGTCTCATCCCGAGGTGCGTAAGGATGTGACGAACCAGCTAACGAAGGGCAGTAATGGATCCCCTGCGGAGGATACCGCCATGATGGACCAGAGGGAGAGTGCTACGCCATTACCCATCGGGAAGCGCCAATCTGGCGACCGAACGAAGCCACCCGATCCGGTCGTCCGAGCAGTGGTGGACATTCGGAGTGGAGACGAATTGACAGGAGAGAAGCCTATTGAGAATCAGAATGAGAAGCTGGGGGATCGCCTTGGTTCTAAGGCCCTCCCATCCATTTCGTGAACCCGAATGCTCTAACTGACCCTCCCACATTTTAAATGATGTTAAGCATTTTTACATGGAATTGCAGGGGGCGGGGAGTAAAAGATTCCTTAGAGTCTTCAAGGAATATCGAAGAAAATATCGACCGTGTATCGTAATCATTGTTGAGCCGAGGATAAGTGGGAGCAAAGCTGAGGACGTGATCCGAAGTTTGGGATATGATAAGCATTTACTTGTTGATGCATCGGGATTTGCGGGAGGCATATGGATGGCTTGGGATTCCACCCTGGTCACGATTACTGAAACTGATCGTTCTAATCAGTTCCTCCATGTTAAAGTTTGCTCGGGGAGAGACATTTGATTCTTGACAGCTGTGTATGCGAATCCAGCCCTCATCCAAAGGCGTGAATTATGGCACTCTATCAGATCTCTGGCAGAAAATATGGCGGATCCGTGGATTCTTGCCGGAGATTTTAATTCCATTCTTCAGCCGGCGGATAAGCTGGGAGGTTCTCCTTTCAACGCTAGTGGAGCTCGGGAGATTCAAGACTGCGTTTTGGATGCCGGTTTGATAGACTTGGGGTTCACGGGACCGCCATTTACCTGGTTTAGTGGGGGAATTAAGGAAAGTTTGGACAGAGGGCTTGTAAACTCCGCATGGTCGACGCTATTTCCAGATACCGTCGTTCAACACATCCCTAAGGTGAAGAGTGACCATCGACCACTTTTACTCACTCTAAACCCGTCATTTCAGCCAGCGGGGCCAAAACCTTTCAAGTTTCTTGCGGCTTGGCTCACGCATGAAGGTTTCAATGAGATGGAAGCTTCGGCTTGGGCAAGAGGTGTTGATTTGTGCAGTGCCATTGCTGAATTTGCCAAAGAAGCCCAAATTTGGAATTTTCATACCTTTGGACACATCTTAAGGAAGAAAAACTTGCTGCTGGCTCGCATTGAACGGCTCGAAATGCGGGTTTCGGGTGGTACAGATAATGTAGCTTTACAACAGGCTAGAGAGGAGCTTGAACTGATTCTACTTCAAGAAGAGCTCCTCTGGGCCCAAAAGTCGAGGCTGGATTGGGTGATCTCTGGTGATAGGAACACGAAATACTTCCATGCAAGAGCAGTCGCCAGGAGACGTAGAAATAGAGTTTCGATGTTGAAAAACAGTGAAGGTGTTTGGGTTGAGGATCAACATGTTTTGCTCGAAATGGCCAAAGTTTACTTTTCGGCTTTGTACACCGATGATGGCGATCCTCTAACTGTATTACCGACCACCTTCAAGGAACTTCCAGATGCTATGTGGTTGTCGTTGCAAGAACAGTTCACAGAAGAAGAGGTGCACCGGGCAATAAAAGCGATGTGAGCTCTAAAAACGCCGGGTAAGGATGGCCTACAACCTCTGTTCTATCAACGCTGCTGAGATATTGTTGGCCGGGCGGTAGTAGAATTTGCGCAAGGTTGTTGGAGAGAACCAGAGCGGGTGAAGGAAGTGAATGCGACGATTGTCGTCTTGATACCGAAGGTCCCAAGACCGACCGTCATTGAGCAATACAGACCGATCAGCCTGTGCAATGTGGCATATAAGGCGATTACCAAGTGTTTAGCTGAAAGATTGAAGCCGCTCATGCCTTAGTTGGTGCATGAAACCCAGACGAGCTTCGTACCAGGGAGACACATTACTGACAATATTTTCATTTTGCAGGAAGTAGTGCACTCGATGCGAGCCAAGAAGGGCAAGGTTGGGTGGATGACACTCAAAATTGACCTGGCCAAGGCATATGATCGTATCAAATGGACTTTTGTTCGAGATACTCTGGTTGTGGCTAAAGTTTCCCAGGAGTTCATTGAGCTGACTATGAGCTGCATTTCATCCTCCAGCATGCAAATCCAGTGGAACGGCGGACT